AAAAAAAAATGTAAATCTTTGGACTTAGTCAGCAAAACGGGTGTCCTCCTAAGCCCAGCTGTGACCTTAAAGTATGGCCTGAGCTAGTTTTATCTTCAAGTTTTCTCCAAGTTTGTCCATGAACTCAAAGGTATTCAAGTAGTCGGAACGTTGCACATTGGGTAAACCTTTAATGCAAGCAGCCAAGTCCTTGGTCATGAAGCCAGCCTCAATGGTCTCAATGCAGACTTCTTCCAAAGCTTTTGGGAAGAAGCCAAGTTCATTGTTGTTATCAAGCTTTGCTCTGTGGGCCAACCCTCTGGACCAGGCAAAAATGGAAGCAATAGGATTGGTAGAGGTCTCCTGTCCTTTCTGGTACATGCGGTAGTGGCATGTTACAGTTCTGTGCGCAGCCTCGGCTTCCACTGTCTTGCCATCTGGACAAATCAACACGCTGGTCATCATGCCAAGAGAGCCATAACCTTGGACCACAGAATCTGACTGCACATTGCCATCATAGTTCTTACAGGCCCAGATGAAGCCTCCCTCTGACTTCATGGCTTGGGCCACCATGTCATTGATGAGCCTGTGCTCGTACCAGATCTTCTGAGCTTCAAACTTGGATTTGTATTGCTTGTCATATATCTCCTGAAAGATGTCTTTGAAACGTCCATCATATTTCTTCAGAATAGTGTTTTTGGTGCTCAGATACAGAGGCCAACCCTTAGACAGAGCCATTTGGAAGGAACTGTGTGCAAAGTCTTCAATGGACTTATCTTGGTTGTACATCCCCATGGCGACACCACCGCCCTCTTCAAAGTTGTGGACCAGGTATGTCACTTTCTGGCTTCCATCACTTGGTGTGTAAGTTATTTCTACCTTTCCAGGCCCAGGAACAACAAGATCAGTTGCTCTATATTGATCCCCATAGGCATGACGACCTACGATGATTGGTTTTACCCACCCTGTCACAAGGCAGGGGATATTTTTACAGATAATAGCTTCTCTGAAGATGGTGCCACCCAGAGTATTTTGGATGGTGCCATTGGGTGATTTCTACATTTGTTTCAGCTTGAACTCCTCCACCCTCTTCTCATCGGGGGTGATGGTGACACACTTGACACCAACATTGTGCTTCTTTACAGCTTCAGCAGCATCCCTGGTGACTTGGTTATGGGTGGCATCCCGATTCTCTGTGCCTAAGTCATAGCTGTGCAGATCGAGTTCCACATAGGGAAAAATGAGTTTTTCTTTAATCAATTCCCAAATGATTCACGTCATTTCATCTCCTTGCATCTCTACCACAGAACCACCATGGATTTTTCCAGACATTTTTGCTGACGATAAACCTCGGGGTGAGACCTGAGAAGAGCAGAGGGGTGGCCACGGTACGCACACATTCTGACGCACTCACACGTACAGTCCGTACGGGGCCGGCATCCGAGCTTCGAACACCGATCGGTGCAGACCAGGGACTGAAGGGCGGGCAGTATGATTTTTTAAAAGGCAAACTGTGTTTATCCTTAGGATGGAAACAGCCTTTTAATCATCTTAAGGGAAAATGTAAAAACTTTGCTTTTAGTGTCAATTGTAATGGAGAGAGAGATTTTTAAAAACCTCTTTGCTTCCTGCTTTTTTCTGAGGTCCTATTTCTCATGGAATGGTCCTTTGTATCACTCAGGTCAGCTATGCAGCACCTTTTTACAGTAGACCTATAGCTGCCATACCTTGAGGCCATTCATATTTATATTTGAAAGGCCCTTTCTTTCTTTAATTAATTTTTATTTTTATATTTCCTTTTTTATTATTTATAATTTTTAAATTTTTGTCAAAGAATGCCCAATTGAGCAATATGAGTTTGGAGTGATTTAAACAATGTTTTGAATCTCAGCATAAATCCTGAGGAAATTTGACTGACCTTCTCAGACCCAAAAGCTACAACTCTTGTTGCATAGGTCCTGCTTTACCTTGGTCTTAACCATCCAGCAGAAAAGTATAAAAACGAAGTATAAGAAGTAAAGTCATGCTGTTATGTTGAGCTGTAGGGGACTCAGGTCAACAACTTCTGACATTGCCAGTCAAGCAGAAGACCCAATACTTTTATGGACTACTGGACTCTTTTAGAATATTTTGCTAAGTTAACTCACCTATAATATTCAAATAACAGAACTAAACAAAAAAAAAGAAGATACAGATGAAAGTCCATTTTGTATCTGTGTATTCAAGATGGTTAGGATAGATATATAGTTGCATTCTCTTAATGAATAGAGGGATTTGTTGTAATAGTGTTTGTAAATAGGATATCATGTCTGCATCTTGTACAGCAATTAACCACTAGGAATAATGTATGCAATGTGTTCATTATTGAAACTGTCCTACCAATTTGGTTTGAAACTGTCTCATTCCTATTTGTTTCTCAATAAAATTATGGGGAAAAAAAACCAACAACAATGTTTTCAGTACAGCTGAACTATAATTCCTGATTTTCCCTGTGTAATCAGCATTGATGTCACCAGGCAAAGCCTAGAGACATTTTGTTTTGGGGCTCTGCCTCTGGTTGCCATGTTTACTCCATAGTCTTGGGGCATGTGGAGCTGGGGATCAAACCTCAGTCCCTGGCGTGTCTGCTTAAGCAGGTGCTTTAATCCACTGAGCTATCTGGCCAGCCCTGTAAAACCCTTTCTAACCAGAATTCAGAAAAGAAAAGTAAATACAGGAAACAAGCATACCCAAGTCATTTCTACATACTTGAGATTCTATTTCTCCTATTTTTAACTCAATACAACTCTCCTTTTTGGCTTCTCTCAAACTTCTTTCTCTCTTTAAGCTTGTTTATCTCTCTGCCCCTAGTGAACCCATTTCTGGCCCTAGTGAACCTGTTTCTGGCCCTAATGATCCCCTTTCTGGCCATAATGAGCCCCTTTCTGGACCTATTGCACCTTCATCCCCACACTTTGCACCTGATGTGCCAGTACCAAAACCTGCCTGTGCTGAATACTGGCTCTAACCAATTCACTTCCCTCCCCTGTTGTGCGTACTTCGGAAGTGTTCCTGCTTCCCACTTATATCTTAATGATTGTTCCGTTCAGGTGCCAAATATAAGGACTTGTTGGTCTCTTGGTGTACCTCAGGGAGAAACAGTGGCAGGAATGAGGGAAAAAAATAGACAAAAGCCAAGACCTGGGTCAGGTGGTGGCCTGTTTGCCTGATTGGCAAAGGGCCACAAGAACAACAGAGGGGTGTTTATTTATACCTTTGCACAGTTATTATCAGGAGACTCAAGATTGCCTAGTAATTAAAAGCTGAAATTGGCCAGGCAGGATGCTTTGCATAGACTGAGATAGGCTGACTGATTTAGATATTCTGGCCTTGTCTTGCCTTCCCACATATGATCAGTTTCCAACTTTAGCAGGCTCCAACAGAGTTCCCTTTTTGTGTCTTTACTGAGTTGTCATGGCTGCCTTGATGTCCTTAGTTGACTCAAAATAGTTATTTATTATGGTCATTTGGACTTTGAGAAAGGACCAGTTGTCACGTGGTGCCAGATCCAGATCCAGTGAATATGGAAGGACACACTCTAGTGCTTGTCTTTATGATCTTGTGTTTCTGTTGGATGACACTGGGCAGCAGCATTCAACTATATTTTTTGTAATACCTTTTTAATCTCTTCTCAGCCTTTTCACTAAGGTCAAATGTAATACCTTTTAAGGACATTCATGACAAAGGACTTCCAGAACTGCTTTAGAAAGTGGCAAGAATAACAGGATAAGCATGTTCAGAGTGAGAGGAGGATTCCGGGAGGAATTAGGGCCAATATATCTTTTACTGTATAAAATGTTTAAATTTAAATGTTTCATCACTCCTTGTATACCATATTTTGCTTATTCAGTGATGGACACATAAGTTAATTCTGTATCTTAGATATTGCAAATAATACTAGAGTAACTCTGTGAGTACAGATAATACAGATGTCTTTTCATCCCAAGATGTTAGAAAGCCAGGAACATGGACTGCTTGAGGAAAACCACAGGAATGATTGAAGTCAGCCGAAGAGTGAGGCCAAGAGGTCTGCAATCATAGGCACTGCCATAGGGATAGGGCCATCAAAACCCTTTGATGTTCACTTATAGTGAGATGACCAGGGTGGGGGCTATCAACCTGCATTTAGTGTTTTCCTTGGTGAATCTTGTTCTCTTGCTGTGTTCCATTCCATTCTATCCCCCTATTGCTCCTTGGCAGTTTTTAACTTTATTTTTTATTTTTTGTAGGGGCTTATAGCTAAGAGTTCACCTTGAACATCAAAGGAGATTTCAGATTTGGATTTTTCAGCAATGCAGAAACTTGAGGACTTTGGTAACTCGTATATGGACCAAACACAATTTGTATAAAGTCTTTTGGGGGCCAGAGGAGGAATGTTATGGCTTATATCTAGATGTCCCCCCAAACACTGATGCAGTCATATGTTGAGCCGTTAGGAGATGATTAGGTCACTGAGCCAGGATACTTACCATCAGTGGTTTCGTGCACTGATGAGTTTGTAAGTAAATGTGTTGGGAAGAGAAGCTTGGTCAGAGGAGGTGGGTCACTGTGGGGGCACGGTCTGGGGGCTCTATCTCCCTCTGAGCTTCTCAGTCAGTCAGTCAGCCTGTCTGTTGGTTGATGGGTCATTTGGTCTGTCAGTCAGCCAGTCGGTCGGTCGGCCGGTCGGTCTGTCTGTCTGTGTGTCTGTCTGCGTGTGTGTTTCTTTCTCTCTCTCTCTCTCTCTCTCTCTCTCTCTCTCTCTCTCTCTCTCTCTCTCTCTCTCTCTCTCTGTATGTTTTCCTCTGCCATGCCATGCCCCTCGGTGCATTGCTGCCTTGCCTTTCACCATCTGACTATGGCCTGAAATAGAAACTGATCCCAAATAAACCTCTCCGCTATTAAGTAGTGGGTGTCAGGTATTGTGTGTCATAACAAGAAAGTAACTAGGACACTCCTCAGGAATATTTAATATTATCTATCTTAAATGCTATGAGATACTGGTTTAAAACACTAGGAGATATTTTTTACCTATGAGATTGAAAGGTAATAAAATGGTCAACTTATTAGCTATAGAAAGTTTGTGTAACTTTCCTGAACATCAATTTGACAGTGGGTATTACCATTTAAAATGCACTGAGAAACTGGGTTTATAGTGCATCCTGTAATCCCAGCACTCAGGAGGCTGTGGCAGGATTGTTCCAAACTCACAGTCAGCCTGGGATACATAGTGAGCTCAAAGTCAGCAAGCACTACCTAGCAGCACATTGCCTCAACCTGTGCTGCCTAAAATAAAATAAAACACACATATCAATTATTCAACAATTCCTCTTTCATAAAGTTACTATACAAATAAAAATGATTTGCAAAGATTTATATACTCTGATGTTTATTATGGAAAACAAAGGGGGAAATGACCAAAGAAATAAAAGTGAATTCTGATCCCCTATATTAGCCTGGATATTATTAGTACACACAGGTAGAGGTGAACTGATTATTTTGCTCATGGCATATATTCACAAATCTTATACTGTGGTGCACTAGACTAAGCTTGCCAATAAAGTCACAACCTTAACACAATCTCAATGAGCATTTCAGCAATAAAAATATGATTTAACTAAAAAAAGTTAAAAATTGTCTCTAAAGAAAGTAGAAAATGAGACAGAAAAGATGAAGCAGGAGAAAAGGAAGAAAAAGGTTATTAAGAAGTTGGTTTTTATATACTTTCTGAATTTCACTGTGAATCTTTAAAAAAATCTTTAGCTTTTAATACATAGATTAGAAACCATTTTAAAGAACTCGTTGAGATGTTATGAAAATCCAGTGGAAGAAAATATATTCACTGTAGTTGATAGTAGAGGTTTTTGCAAGGAGTAAATGGAGGAGGTAACCCCAGGCTTACAATTTGAGGGTCTCCCCAAGGGGGACTGTTAGGGATAGGGCAGCTGATGCTGGTGCTAATAGGCTACGGACACACTCAAGAACTCCTGCCTCCTCAGCCAGTCGACACCACTTTCCCCCTATTTTTGCACTATATTTATACAGAGCATTTTAGTGTTTGTGTCTCTTCTTCTTTCATGGTCTTCATTCATTCTGCACTTTTTAATCTGCCCAAACGTGCTGAGCATGGCAGATAGACACACACACACACACACACACACACACACACACACACACA